GGGGAGGCGGCTGCTCTGAGCCGGGGGTGCCTGCTGGCTGCTGCCATGTGCGCCGCGGCCGGGGAGCTGCAGTCTCGCTGCCTGGCCTTGCGGGAGCTGCGCCCCTCGCACGTGCTCCAGCTGTGAAGCTGGCTAGAAAAGACTTAGGCTGCTGCTTCCCCGCGCAGGAGGAAAGCTAGTGCTCCGGGGCTCGATCTGCTCCACGACCTGATCAGGAGCCCGGGAGGGATGTAAAATACCAGCCCCTCTTCAAGGCTGAGCTGGTCTCGCACTCCCCATGAGAATATGGCACGGGGGGGGGAGGGTGTTTCCAGTGTAATGGTGCGAGGAAAGGCGGCGCTTGTGGAACAGCCAAAGGCCAAACGAACGGGACCCTTCCCCCAGGCCTCTTCCCAGGGCTTCCCTGAGGAGCTGCCTGATGTTTACTGACCTTCTGTGCGCGCTGCGGTGAGGAAAGGTTTTGTTGGGATAGGACAAGTTAAGCCCTCATTTTGCTTTAATGCAGAAAGAAATAAGAGCGTGGCACTGACCTTGCAAGAGAAGTGGGGCAAGTAGCAGTCGGACAGAAAGTTACATTTATAGGTCCACATTTTGCCCTGACTTGCACTTGTGTAACTACTAATTGCGGTGAATTTGCATGAGTGAACATCAGCAGCTGTTATTGTTAGCTCTTCATGCTTGTAGGACGGGGCTGCCAAAGGCAAAAGAATAAATATCTTAATGCAAGAAGTTACTTTTTAGAATCGTATATCATTGTCCCGGCTTGTGGTTTTAAGAACCAGTGCATGTGATTCTTAAAAGTGTGCATCTTTTACTCTAAACAGTCTATAAAAGGACAATCTACAGTTTATTAGACCTTGTATGGTACAGTCAAATGTGGCTAGTGAGTAGATATTAAAATGTCTAGGGATATTAAACCAGTAGGATAATCTACAGTTTATTAGCCTCCTATGGTATGGCCAAATGCAGCTAGTAGTTAGGAATTGGAATATGTGGGTACATAAAACCATTCTGTAGGAGTTCTTGGTCTTGGGAGGCCAGTTGCAATGTTCAGGCAAGTTTGTGAAATTTTAGATTAAAATTTCTCTAAGATTATTAGAATGACACTTCTGCATTAGCTGTATAGAACACCTGGTGGCAATTCAGATCTGAGGGAAGAGAAAATAAGCAGATCCTTACCTTATGGACAGGGCTGTCTGAAAAAAAAACCTGAGTAATGCAGAACCAGACTAGGGAACAGTGCGCACAGGCTGAATCTTGCAAACTCCATCGGAGTCATGCAAACTGCTATAAGGTAGAAGACGGGGTAGAGTTGCATGTAATAGACTTGAAGAGTGGCCCAGCAGTTTGGGTGCTCTATGTGTTTTAGGAGACCAAGGTTCAATTCCCTGCTGTACCTCAGTTTCTATCTGTTAAATGGGGTTAATTATATTTGCTGGACTTACTGGGGTGTTGTAAGAATAAATGCATTAAATATTGTAAACTGCTTGGATACTTCAATAATGTTGGCATATAAAATACTTTACACAGCATCCCTAGAAGGCAACATTTTTAAGCTCTGTCGAGCTGGAAACATCTTGTCAAATAGCAACATAATCAAACTCGGTGGGAGTTTTGTCATTGGAAAACTGAACTAAAGGACTATATTTCGGGCTTGGTCTTGCATTAGTAAAAAAACTAGATAAAATAATGGTACTTACTGTTGGTAGCAAACAACTCCTTTACAGTGTCCATTGGGTGCGCTGAGGCCACCCCAAACACAGGAACTCTTTCTATAGGCAGGACAGCTTATGTCCTTTGTGCATGTGTTTCAGGGAGGTCTGGATGCTGGCAGCAGTTGAGCCTATTTGACAGTTAAGTAGGTAAAAATTACTGTTATTGTCACAGCTGAAGATGGGACATGCTGTTGGGAGTGATTGCAGACTACCTGTGGGTCTGGAGCTCTATCCAGCTTTGTTTTTCAGCAATTTTGCAAAGATAGTTTTATAAACTGTGGCCTCATTGAATCAACCACCCAGATCAGCTGAAACAATAAAAATAATAGATTTTATATATTTTGCATGTTCCTCTTTATCGAATGCTAACGTCAAAGCTCAGCTTTGGATTTTTAAGTGAACACTATTAAACATGCAGCCAAAATGCACAAAATAGATTTTACCACTGGACCTTAATTGAATGTGACAGCTGAGTTCTTGCTTGGCATGGTTCTTCAATCTAAATCATAAATCCAGACTGATCATTTTGTGCCAAGTAATTGGATCCTAGCAAAAGCAAGCAGGGAGGAGAATCCTTGGGCTTTATCATTTGAATCTAGGAATAGAGAACCCATTTCAGCATGCCAACTGCATGTTATCAAAGATGGTCTTAGTTGTCTCAGCAATATTTTCTTAATTATCTTTCTCCTTGACCTGATACAGGTTTCAAGATCAATTATTTTCATTTTCTTGCCATCGCTGATTGCTTGGAGTGAGAATTACAAAGCCTTTGTAGGATGTGGGTGGGGAAATTTTGGGGAAATATGACTAAGATCAAGGTACAATTGCAGTTGCCTTTAATAAAACAATGTTTACTTTTGATGATCTTTTCCTTGTTCACAGGATGCAAAGGGTTGTATATTTCTAGATTTATATGATGATAATTACTTACCATTATAATAAAAAGAAAAGGACTTATATAATTGTAGATGACTGGTGTAGGCTTATTCCCAATTTAATAGGTCACTGTTACTATTAAGTATAAGGTTATGAGCTTAAGGGCAAATAACAGTTTTTGCCGCAGGAGGGAAGCTCTTCACTTGCAAGTGACAGAGCAGAAGAACTTGGGTTTATTAGGCAATTGTAGGATGTCTTTGACCTTGTGATGTTATCAAAAAGCCAAATGCAAGACAGATCAGGGGAGGTGTTTCCAATAAGGTTTGGAAAATAGTAATAATGACTGTACAAGGGACTGGTAAGATCTCTTCTGAAATGCTGATCGCTCATGTTGAAGAAATACAAACTCAAAGTGGAACTGATGCAGGGAAGGCTGTCAGGCCGATCAGGGGAATGGAGTATATATCATTCAAGGGAGACAAAATCCCTGGTTTAGTAGTTAGTCTGGCAGAACAAAGGTTAAAGGACTATGTGATTTCCCTCTTAGTACACCAAGGTAAATGCCAGGAAAAGAGAAGAGTGGCTTAAGTGAAAGGACAATGTTGGCACAAGAACAAATGGCTATAAACAGGCCATGCATAAATTTAGACTGGAAATTAGAAGGAAGACTTTATCCATTAAGCAAATGAGATTCTCTTACAGTTTTCCAATAGGAGTGGGTAACCAAAAAAATCTAACTAGCTTTAAGATGGAGTTTGATCAGTTTATGACCAATTTATGAAAGATATGCAGAAGCAGCAGGAAACTGAATTCAGTCATGCGGCAGCTCACTTCTAGTCCTTTAGTTCATACCAATTAACACCATTAGAGATTTAATTTTGTGACTTAGACTGGGGTATCAAACTTATCCAGCTCATGGGGACAGATGAGTGGTGCGGGACCAATCCATGGGCCTGATCAAGCATCCTTCCCCCCACCCCACTCTACCCTATGCCAGATCTAATGTACATGGTGCCTGCTCCAGGCGGTTTAGGATCATAGAGGAGAGGCCTGGGGTCCTAGGCTTGGCTGCTGCTGCTGCAAGAACAAGACATGGTGACAGGCTTCTTCCTGCAGTACTGCTGCTCTTGCCTGGGTGCTCTGCAACCAGGCCAGGGAGAGTAGCAGCTCTGGAGCCCCAGCAGCATGCTGCAACTCTTCTCACAGTAGCAGCCAAGTACCTGGGCAAGAGCTGTTGTGCTGGATCCCTAGCAGTACTACACAGAGAAAGAAGCACAGCCCGACATTGCAGCATTTGGCTGTTGCTGTAGGAGCAAGCTGCAGTACTTCTGGGCCTCCAGCACCGCAGGTTTCACCCGGGCTCTTGGCAGCTGCTGCTGCAGGAAAGTCCTCCCATCACAACCAGAGTCAGGGCAAAAGTCTGTGGGCTGGATGACCTGGCTCTGATGTTTGACACCCCTGAGTTAGACCACTGGTCCTACAAGCACTTGAACATGTGTATATTTTTACTTATTATGCTAGTCTCTATTTGAATGGCTTTAAGGAGCTAAATGGGTATTTTTCAAGGCAGGCGAGAAGGAAGTTGTAGTGGTCAAATTTCAGGATACTGAAGACCTGGATGACAGTTTAGCTCTGATGATAGAGGGGAAAATTCAGATACCTAACTTGCTTGGGCCATGTCCATGCTAGAAGGTTTTTCTATGAAGAGGTTTTTCTGTTTGCAGCTACCAACACTGCTGTGTTATTGGAGCGTGGGCTACTTTGGCACTTGGGCTGATTCCTCTTATTCCATGTTCCTGGCGTAAGAGGTGTTTCATGTGGAGAGAGGCCTAGATTTTATGGTTGCTGATACTGCAGTGTTTGTACAGTTTTTCTAGGCTGGCAGCTGTATGAGGGGGAGGGCTTTTATTGTCCTGAGAAGTGGTTTTATTAAAGGAACTTCTGTCAGCAAAACTTTTGAAGTGTAGGTCAGATCTTAGGTATGCTTGTGAATTCCACTGCATCTAACTAACTGCACCTTTCTGTATCTTAACATTTCTGCTAGCTTTTACTTTGTCTATGAGTTCCAAAAAAGTGGCTTTGCCCTTTGTCTCCTAGCCTCTTTTATAAATGTTGCAATTGGGACAGCAGTATTACAAAAGTTTTACTGAGAGTAATTACCAGATTCTGCTGCCCTGATTCTTTTATCCTTCTTCTCTGGATGACTCTTGTTTTCCCCTCGTTTCTTTGGTGGATTGTCTCCTCTTCAGGATGCTTCCTTTGACGACCTTCCTGTTTTCTTTGTAGAGCCTATACCTGTGAATCTAATCCGGATGATTCTTTTTCACTATTTCATCTGTGAAACTAGATCAGTTTGCAGTTGCATTCTGGACATATTGGAAGGGCAAGGTGAGTGTTGAGGAGGCTGGAGAGGATGAGGTTATAGTAGTTTAGATATAAGATCCCTATGTTTTAGTATTTGGAAGAACTGATTTGGAAGATGTAGAAGTTTAAAATGGGAAGGTCATTTATATCGTTATGAGGGTTCAAAGAGTTAAACAGGGTTTGATTTGTTATCCTCTGTGAAGAGGAGGAATATGGAGTTGCCAGGGTCAAAGGAGTAAGGAGAGAGAGATAAGGAGCTCTTTCTCCCTGACTCCCGGTATGAGTTAACTGAGTCATCTGTGGCAGAGAGTTGAAAACATAAAGCACATACTGTAAGAAGTGTGTCACAGCACAGAATGAAGTCTCTTCATGAACATTCCTATTATGCCTACGCTAGTGCCCAGTTTATCCAGTAAGCTATAGAAATACAGCACAAGTAAAGCACTCCCAGGACTATCCTGCACTAGGGAGGCTTTCCTGCAAGGCCCTCTGGTGGAGATGGAGCTTAGACAGTCCCAAAGAATACTTTTGTTGTAACTAAACCACTACCTTACACAACATAAGCTGGCACAGTATAAATAGCATATCCGTGTGTGCTTGTGTATGCATGCATGCGTGGGGGTCAGTATATCTATGTCATCTAGGGCTCGTGTTTTGTTTTTATACTCCTAACCAACACAGGGGCTGGCAAGGTTTCTTTGTATAGACTTTGGCCTGTACTTGGAAGCCTCTGCCAGTATGTCATGCTACCAGACCATGTTTATTGTGAGTGCACTTCACACCATCAAAACTGTTCTTTTGCTTGTGAATGTTTTCCAGTCTTCCACGAATAAAGCAAGCTATAGGAGCTAAAGGACAGTTTTGCTAGTTTTAACTGTGTCGATTTTTAGAGGTTTTTGCAATCGTATAGCACCTCTAGCCAACGTAGCCATACTAGCAAATGAAGGTGAAGTCACACAAGAAAGCTTGAAGACAGTCTGCATTAGCATAGTAGCCTCTCCTCCTCCAGATTTTTCCTGGTGATGCCAGCAGTTTTCAGGCCATTTTACTGTATCTTATGGAAGGCTCAGATTCTTCATCAAGACTATGCTGGATGCATGACTTGCATGAAATGGTATTGTTAGCTATGAGGCCTGACTAGAAGAACAGTTTATTCCTTTGTCTTCTGATTTCAGTGGGAGTTTGCTGAAGGATTTGGCCATGGTCTGCAATGATAGTAAATAGCCTCAACTTCAAGCGACAGCTTTCAAAAATAAGCTAAGACAGCAACGGCAAGTAAAGGTTATTGAACTGGTGCTTTACTACTGGAAAATGCACACACGCGTTTTATTCTTTGTTCTGTCCTTTTCTTTAAGTACCTGGAGGCTGATGGTCAAATATAGTGTTAACATAAGCAGGTACTATCTCATCAACTTTGATGGAATCGCAGTAGCTCAGGGCTGTCGAATTTCAAAGCAGTCAGGGTCTACACTGCGTGGACTGCACCAGGGTGAGTCATGGGCCCTTGCGGGCACCCCTGCCTAACACTGTGCAGCATAGTCCCTTTCTGCTCCACTGCCCTATCCCTTGGTGTAGGAGCAGGAAGCAGTAGCTGAAAGAGGGAAAGGGATCCTGGAGCTCCCAGCTGCTGTTGCTGTCCCCCTTATTGCTTTGGCTGTAGCTTAACCCCTTGCAGGCTGTATGTGGCCTGTAGGCCACCAGTTAGACAGCCTTATGAATAGCTTATGAAACTGGTGGTAACTCCCTGGAATAATGATAAATGCACTTGTGGAATGGCTAAAAAAACAAGATGCAGTGATAGCCTCTATATTTATTTGTTTGTAAAAGTCTCAGTAAGCTGTAGTAGACATCTTTGGAAGCACTAATTAGTTTCATTAGGTTTTGCGTTTGGAACAGTGACAAGTGTTTTTGCTACATCTCTGTTTCTGCAAGCTGAGATGTTGTTGCACATGAAAAGCTGGGAAATGTCAAGCCTTGGCAAAGACATTTTCAAAATATAACTGCTCTTTTCATCTAGATGACTTAAGGTTCCTATTCTTCACTTGTCTGTTGCTTATCCTTTCTGGAAGGCATGAATTTGTGACACTTACTCTGTATACCAAAACCCTGATTAGTAAATAATGTTACAATATATAAATTAACAGAATGGATGTTGTATATGGCCAGCCCAGTAAGCTTTGATGCAGAATATTATAGGTGTCCTGGAACCTGTAAAGAAATCAGATCTAAAAGTTTTAACCTTGTATGTTGTCAACCTGGAGATGAGATTAGAACAGCCTGAACAGAACAAAAATAGTTCATAGTGCAAACAAGGCCGGACCTTGAACTGGGGGAGGAGAAGGCAGTTGTCCTTGTTAAACTAAATTAACATTTTAATATGCAGGTTAAAGACAAGGATTTTCCTTGACAAGTTTGTTCTATTCTTGGATAGCAGGGTTAGTGAGTTGTTTATAAAGATCTCTGAACTTAATCCAATCTAAGAACATGAATAAAAGTGAGTGGGGGTACAAGAGAGGATCTGAAAAACAGCAACACCCCCAGTGCTGCTGCTCCTGTCTAGGCTAGGCTGCTGTAGATATGCACAGACAGTTGGGCAGACCTCTGCCATTCAGTCAGACATGAGTACAATCCTGTCTTATACTTAAAATTGTAGCCCTTTTGTCTTCAGTAAAGCTATTAATGAGTCATTCTTTTGTGCAGAGGGTCATAATAGTTAAGACATCCATTTTAATAACAAGAAAAACATCTGGTACAATCCAGATTGAGAATTCAAGATGCTAATGGGTTAGGATAAATTTATCAGAAGTACGTGACCTGCCAGGAAAAGTCCAAGGATGGGGAGAACTGAAGAATTTTCTGTCCTCCTCTTGTCCACCCTTTCTATTCAGTTTGAAATCTGAAACCACAGGTCCAAAGCTGACTGTGGAATACTTGACATTTGTGGGTTTTGTTTTAATTCTCTTCAGTACAGAAATGAGACTCAGAGCTAAGAACAATGGTTCTGCTTTGAATCGGATTCCTGAAAGTTCTAGCTGGCATACCGCCTCGCAAACTAATTGTGGTCCCAGTCTAGCTGACTGGTATGAGAAAACTTACACTGTGCTTTTGAGTGACACAGTCAGTAGAAAAAGATGCGTAGAAAACATGAGATGCAGGAATTTAAAAAAAGTGCTGTTCAAATATCTGAAGCATATAAACATGCACACAACAGTTCTTACTTTGCTGTATGCAGTTATGTTTCAGGGCAGAAGGATTTGGGACAGGTGTGACATGTAGTTTTGGACATCCTTCTGTAATAGGAACAGTTCAAAGGTCATTCTACATCTGGCATAGTCATAATGCTTCCTATTTACATTTGGAAGCATCACTGTCCTAGACTGAGTTTTCAACTCCTAAACGTATGGAAGAAGCAGCTGTGGTCTTGAGAGGCAAAGTGCTTTTAGACTTGTCTCTGCAGAGACATTAGTATTTATTTATTAGAATTGTATGTACCTCTTTCCAAGGAGTCTTAGGGTAGTGTACAGTAGAAGACAAAAAATATGGAATTAGAATTAAATATTTAAAATGATGCATCAAGGGAAAATTCTCCCCATCCCCCAAATTAAAACTTTATGCTTCACACCCCACCATTCTGCTCCCCTGCCTCTGACCAAGGAAAGTGTCCTCCCATCCAACCCAACCTCACTTTCCAACCCATTCAATACCAGCATAAAAGAACAACAAATTCCTCCCCCACCGTATTTACTGCAATCTCTGCCCACTGCCACTCCCCTGCCTCACACCCAGGGGAATCCTCTATTCCTTCTACCTCCTCCCCCTCCTTGATACCATTATCCCACCCAAACCCATGCCTCCCTCTCACATGGCTGTCTGTGCCCACCACCTGTTTCCCTGTCTCACATCTGTGGGAGTCCCCAAACCCATAACACACTCTCTCACAGGGAGACCTTATTGAGGCTTGTGGGTTATGGTGAAACAGTGGTGGAGAGGTGGTGGTAATTTTGAACATGGAAGGAGCTG